AGGGGGCGATCATGTCATTGTACAGCAAATGTCAGTTTCTCATCCAACGCCGACTCTGAAACCGGATCGCCCGAAATCAGTGTTATTTCGAGGGCAAAAAATATAGATTTCGCATCTATTTCTTAAATACATAAAAACGCAGAATTGTTATTTACCTTTTGAAATGGAGATGTAAAAGGTAAACGTAACAGGCCGTGGAGGCCCATAGGTTTGTGAGACGTCGAGGTTTCCATATTTTCTAGACAACTGGCTCACAGATGGCGGGGGGGTTGTCAGCCTTACGCGCCGGCCGACCTTTACCCCCAGGAAGATTCCTGATACTCATTTCTGTTAGAGGCTGAGTCGAACCCAGGGCCATAGTGCGGCTAGAAGGTTTAGGTAAACTGAAAAAAAAATCCACCTCATCGGGAATTGAACTCGCGGCCTTCCGGCTTGTACCATAGTGCCTCATTCAACTACGCTACCGCGTACCCCGAAATGAAGATGCACAATGCTATAAAATTTGTCCGTGTCCGACCCATAATGCGTTCGCTTCACTGTCGCTCTTTCTAGAAAAGTTACTGTATTACAGAAACAATATTCTAAAACACTAAACTAATTTCGGTAGCGTAGCTGGTTGAGACACTATGCTACAAGCTGAAAGGACGTGGGTCCGATTTCCGATGAGGTCACTGGATATTTTTCAATTTACCTAACCTATCTATGGCCTTGAGGTCGACTCAGCCTCTAACAGAAATGAGTACCGAGAATCTTCCTGGGGGGTAAAGGGCTGCCGGCGCGTAAGGCTGACATCCTCACCGCCATCTGTGAGCCGACTGCCTAGGAAATGTGGAGGCCTCGATGTCTCACAATCCTACAGGCCTTCACGGCCTGTTACAGGGATAGCTTTACCTTTTTTTTTTAACCTACTGGTCATGGTAATGCAGATATGTGTCTTCTTTGAGCAGGTTTAGGCGTGCCAACGAAAACAAGAATTAAGTTATCATTTTCACTGTACACTGCTAGGCAGAATAATCTTCGAAAACTCACCGCTGTTTATACCACCCGTTAATCAGAGCAGATTCATAACTACTGCGTCTTCAGTTTCAGTGATGTCCAACCCTTATACGTTCACGTAATTTTGAGATAATGTGGTTAGACGAATTAAAATTGAACAATAAAATGTATTCGACAACATAAGGCCATATTTATTGAGGTCGGAATTCAAAACAAATTTCCCCGTCACCTCGCAGAGCTGAATTACAAGTTCACACGTTACGTCCACGTTGGAGGGCGTGTACGAGTATGTATGTGACCTCAGTGCGCCTGCTCTGTGTCCACTCATGTAAGCAACTCGGTGCCTGCCCCAGCTATCGGTGATGACAGACGAATCAACAAACAACCGACGATGTTATTTTGAAACTCAGATATTCTCAACAGAATTTTCCTTGTACGTGACAGAGTTGTGCTAAAAACAGCCGGCAGAGGGAGTGTTTGTACAGTGATTCACTTCACTCTATGTAGCTTATACGACTGTTTTGACGTAGTGATGATTAAGCTGAGACGCGTCTTCACGAGCACAACGCGCCAAACTGAATGGAACAACAAATCTACGACGGCGGTTGCAAACCCGTAAGGACACTAAAGGTCGCCACTCTGTGAAAGTTAACTGACACCAATAAAGCCAAATTATTTTCGTGGTTTAAGACCGCCTCTGTGGTCTAGTGGTCAGAATTCCTGGTTACAGATCCAGAGGTCCCGGGTTCGATTCTCGGTGATACCAGATTTTCTGGGAAGTAGTGGGTCTGGAACGGGATCCACTCAGCCTCGTGAGGATAACTGAGGAGATATTTCAAGGAAACAGCGGCTTCGGTCTGGAAAACCGAAATTAACGGCCGTGGGGATTAGCTGCGCTGACCACCCGACACCCTCTATCCGCCAGAGTTGGCACTAACTTCGCCGACAAGCGGCAGTAGCTCGGTCGGTGTAGTTCACTTGAGGACTACAAGCCACGGAGTTTGTTTTCTTGTGGGTTATTTAACAGCATTATATAGCATCGGATGGTAAGATGATTTATGGGCTATAAATTGGAAAGGATGTGGAAGGAAGTGGTTGTGGCCTAATCAAAGTATTATGACGAAAATTCGCGTCAGGATAGGCGGTGTCCGGGACGAGATTCGAAACGAGCATCTCTCAAATACAAACCTACAACATTACCGCGACATCAGTCTGCCTGGCAATTACATGGTGCAGGATAATTATACCGAAACATCGAGAAAAACTGTGACGTGCAGTATGGCACGCCGTTCCACAGTCACCATATGATGTTCTCGCAGTTAACACAGTGACAAATTCGTACTTTAATGAAGAGCTGTAGGATACATGCCTCACGAAAACCACACATTCAAAGAGACTGACGCCTTCGTCTCGATTCGAGACTCTCGAATGAAGAGATCGAAAACTAAACAAGCGGAACCTCTACACACTTTTTCCGTGCGTACGACTACAAATAAAACAATTTTTAGCCTACTTTCCTTATTTTGAAGAAATAAAAGTATACTTACGAGATAACTATATTGTTCGTCTGTGTATCCACCCTCATCAACTTTGGCAACCCTGAATCAATCTCTACGAAACTTGGTATGTACCATGGAGCCTGAGCCAATCTCAACGGCGAACTTCATAAATCCCTACCATCACTGTGTGCCTGCATCTGTATCGCCTTATCGTTGCTAGGAAACGGTTCGGTAAAACATTACCGCGGCAACGAATACAAATGCAACAATATAAGATTTGTATGGCGCGTCGTTTTATATGTGGTCCGTGTCGTATCAAAGGGAAGAAAGCGATTAGTTCTTCCCAGAACTTCTTGTTAAAACTCACGTTCCAAACATTTTCGCATTATTGAAATGTACTGCTCCTTTCTAAAGAAATGACTAAGAAGAGCGAAGTTATATGCCTTTTATTACCCGCTACCTATGTCTGACATCACGTCTTGACGGAGCGACACTCCGGCACTCAAAGAGTTGGGCGTCGCCCTGCCCTGGTCGATAGTTAAACAGCTTGTCAAGGAATTTCGGTCTGTTACAATACCCGAAGGTCCATTACCGTTTTCTCAAAAGCCTATTATTTACATTCATTTAAAGAATAATTTCTTCATTGGCAAGTAAAGCAATCTGCTTACAATAAATTAAGGCATATAAGCCTTACAATTTCGTCTCATCCGGAATATAACACAACTGCAAAGAATTGGATCGCATATGCTCATATGTGACGCCATGTAGTCCAGTAGTTGACCCACGTTTTGAACGAACATAGTGGCCCCACCTCCAGGGTTTTTTTAAGCAGGCCCAGCAACGTGGCTGACTCAACTCTCTCGTTTCTTGTTTGGCTTACTGTTACACCCTGAAGATGAAGGCAGTACTCGTACGTTCCTATGAAAAGTCCGTGACGACCGTACTGTTCGATATCAAATTCAACAGCTGGACCCTACGTGTGGGTCTGAGCAAAATATCCATATCACGCGCAGACATGCACAATTCATATGTCGCTTTCATAAGAAGTAATGTTTGCATCGGTGCCATTCGATTCCCGATAAGGTCACTGGATATTTTCAGTTCACCTAATCCTTCCACCGCACTATGGCCCCGGGGTCGACTCAGCCTCCAACAGAAATGAGTACCAGGATGCAACCGCTCACTTTTTCTATCTTTATGTTTATTTATTTAGTTGCCCGCTTCGGTAGAACACTTGACTCTTCTCAGGGTTGTGCCACGGTAATAACTGGGGCAACAAGGAGACTACACATTTAAAGCTAGTCCACTGATACAAATCAAAGACACTATTTTCTGCTTAATCACAAATTGTTTATTTCAGAAGCAAACACTATATCTTTATTAGCAAGTACGGAGTAATGTGCCCTTTTTATTATTATCAAAGATTAATCGAAGCAAATAAAAACTGTTAAATTTAGATATACTTGGAGAGCGCAGCTCAACACGTCTGCCTCTGGTGAATTCAAAATGCCAAGTCCTTCTGCCCACTCTATTCTGCGGGAGCGTCACTTCATCCACTGTATAGGATTTGAACCGACGGCCTTTCTCCCAGACAAGAATAGTTTCCTAATGGCTGATTTTAACTGCCAATTCAGCATACCATCAGTACTAGACAATCACATTACTAACTTTGAGAATAAAGAGATCCAAAGATATTGAACCCTGAACCATACACGTGAAAGCGGTTATTTCTTAGTTTAGGGTCCAATTACACCCTTCCGAAGACACTTTTATAACAGCTACCCTATTAGCAAAACAACATTTACATGTTCGGCAAACCACAGACTTGCCTTTTCATAATGGGCCATGTCCCTTTCCGGCCACCCAAGCTGCAGGTAACAAAACAAGGCAGTTGTTCCTGTCCAAATGCGAAAAGCAAGTCATAACTTCTTAATGGATGGGTCTCCCTTATAAATCAGTCACTCTATTGAAATGGCTAAAGAGGAACATAGCGTCCATTAAAGAGTTTTAATAGGTTTAGACTGTCACAAGGAATCTTCCTGGGGGTAAAGTGCGGCCGGCGCGTAAGGCTGGTCTCACAGCCATCTGTGAACTGACTGTCTATAGAACGTGGGAGCCTCGACGTCTTACAACCTTATGGGCCTTAACGGCCTGTTACAGTGTTGGCTGTGCTGAGCTGCAAGTTATGAAAACTAGTAAACCCAAACATTCTCCAGATCATTTGGTCCGAGGTTCTTACACCGGTGACTATAAAGACTAAAATCTTGTAGCTTGAAGCCTGTTTAATGCTAGTTTCTTGCTTGGCTTCGTCTCCGACACTAAAGATGGAGACGATACTTTCCTCCGAAACGTCAGTAAACTTCGACAGAACTGCAAGGCTTTACAACCCACTAAGGAAGTTCCCAGACATCAGACATTGCTCTCACGTTACACTGACCGGCCACTCGACCCTGTACTTACCGCGGACCCCTGTTTCCCTACCAAAACTTCAGAGGATATACTCACGCGGCATGATTCCTTGCGCCACCAACTGGTTGATGGGCCGCCGCAACATCAGCTTCACCTTCAGTGCTGCAACAAACACATCACTTCATCAATGCATGTTCTGTATTAAGAATTGAGGTTTTCACGGAGGTGATTATGAAGAATGCCATGTTCTGGGATGTGGCGCCGTGTAGATCTTGTGTGAACAGACGATTCGGAGGAACGTATCGACACCATCTACCCTGAAGATGGAAGCGATACGTTACTCCGGAACACTGGTTCACACAAGATCTACACGGCGCCACATCCCAGAAGACGGCATACTTCAATTTATGTTCTAGTATATTCACCATCCTGTCGCGTGTAATGAATGTGACTGCAGGGATGACAGGTTAAGGTACGATTTCCCCTGCTTAACTAACCTCCATGACACGAAATTCAGCCGGAATAGCTCAGTCGGCATAGCGACAGGCTACAGGCTAGAAGGTCGGGGTTCCACTTCCGGGAGGTGTAAGTAATTTTTCTCTAAGGGCCGCGCCAAAGCTCAAGCGGTTAGTCGCTGGCTTCCCACCGCGGCGGCCCGGGTTCGATCCCGGGTCTGGTCAAGTGGGATTTGTGATGGACAAAGTGGCGCTGGGGAAGATTTCTCCGAGTACTTCGGCTTCCCCTGCCAATCTTCATTCCACCAATTGCTCCACAATCACCCTCACCTATCATCTGGGGCTGGTACAATAGGCCAGAAGTGGCCGCAGTGCAAGGCACTTAGTCCCACCCCACTAGCAATAAAAAAAAAATTCTCCTCTCCACAGTGTCCAGTCCGGGTCTGGGGTCCCCCCGCATTCTATCAAAATGGGCACAAGAGGTAAAGCGACGAGTAAAGCTTACCACACCTCCACTTCCCAACAAATCTTCACGCCGTAGTGCTTAATTAAGCACAGGGGCAACTTAACCCTTTTGCCTTACCACGACAAGAAGATGTGTGGGGGATATGTCTTCCCAGAATATACATTATGCCTTTAAAACACAGTGGGTTTTTTTTCCTTGGCACTACAGCCCCAGTGGGCCTAGGCCTACCTCCATGACCTCCGTTCACTTCGGTTTTTCTAGATCTTACACATTCGGTAGGACTCCTTGGGCGAGTGATCAGCTCGTCGCAAGGCCTCTACCTGTAGACAAACACAGAAAAACGCACACAAACATCCATGCCCTGGGTGGGATTCGAACCCACGATCCCGCCTTCCGAGCGAGCGAAGACAGTGCTCGGCTACCGTGACCGGCAAAGCACAGTGTTTACATGTCCCATATTCAGTATGATTGTCAGAACAAATAATTCTGTCCCTAAACAGCAATAACCGGGTCTTATTTATAATGTAAAAGCGTTGTTTACTGTGAGGTAGGAACTGAATAATCATGTGTACAGTATGTAACAAATTAAAAGGAACAGAGACATTCTGAAGAAGGTAAGTCACTCAATTCCTCACGTAATCCCCCGCCTGTTACGTAACCCGAACGTTCTAGCGAAACCTCCGTAAACCCCTACAGCACTCCGCCGCGCTTTACCCCAGAATAGTATTCTTTGTAAACGTTGTTTATGCCGAAAAAGAAACACAAAGTAACTTTGCTCCTACGTTAAATATAGGTTTACTTCTAGAGTTCATAATAACAAATTAAATACTTGTACGTGAATTTTATGACTAGATTTTGTAAGCATGTTTACGGTTTGTACATGCAAGATTTATGCCTTTGTTAGTTTATGTTCCTGTTTGTATACTTATTGATGTTGTAAACTGTATATGTTTTAGACAAATTGGATTCATCTTGATATCGTAATGTTATTACACCGCACCCTCCTTAATTGCCCAATCCACTGTTTGCTCCCTAGCCCTCACTCGCTCTGGCTCCAGTCTTCATTAATTCTCAGGTTATAAATGCATTTAGTTCCTTAGGGCATAAGCGCCGAGTAAAGTCAATACAGAAATTAGAAAGAAGAAACAGTTCCCTTTTGCTCTGTCACCTGTGCTCAGCTGTTCATGTTTCAAACCTGTACCCTCGTTTACTCTGTTCCACAGGACGTGGACAATGCGACGTGGTGTTGTGAGATGCAACAAATTTCCGTATTTAAAGTTTCGGAATTTATGTGGACTCCGAAATTTTGTTGTTCACTGCTAGTCGGCATAGCGACTGGCTACGGGCTGAACGATCGATGTATCGAAGTTCGAGTCCCGGTAGAGTCAAGAATTTTCTCTTCTCCATGTGGTCCAGACCGGTACTGGGGCCCACTCAGCACCCTACCCAATGGGTACGGGAGGCTCTTTCCCAGGGCGTAAAGCGACCAAGGCGTGAAGCTGACCACTCACCTCAATCTAGAGCCGATGTCAACAATGATGGAGCTATAACTCCACTCCTCAATTTGCCTTCATGGCGTAGTGCTTAATTAACTAAGCATAGGGACAACTTTATCTCTTTACTCAGAGAACCCGTGCTTTAGTTTCGAGTCATGTGTTACGGCTGTGAAACTTGGGCCTGTACATACAAACCTAAATCCGAACAGGTCAAACGATACAAAAATATGCTTAAGGACGGCGAGAAAATATCCCTAGAGCAACAGATGTTAACTTGAAGAATGCAGTCTTCTAGGATGTGGCGTCGAGTAGATCTTGTGTGAACCGACGTTTCGGAGGAACGTCGATTCACACAAGATCTACACGTCGCCACATCCCAGGAGACGACGTTCTTCATAGTCATGGCTGTGAAAACCTCAATTCTTAGATGTTAACTTGCTCGCATGCAGATTTCTCTATTGATAAACTGGACGAATAGCTCCTGCTGTTAGCCACAAATACACACGAAACAATGAACATACACGTACATCCCAATGAGCGAAGGGAATCTACCCATCAAAACTCTCTTCTGCTACAACGCATAATAAACAACGGTATATACTCGTACTCGTGCTTTTGCAGCCAAGTAACAAGATAAAATACCCAAGAAGCACCGTGAGGACATAAAACGTAGGCTTTAGTCCACAAGAGAACTATACCGACCGAGCGACTGCCGCTTGTCGGCGAAGTTAGTGCCAACTTTAGCGGATAGAGGATGTCGCGGGGTCAGCGCAACGAATCCCCACGGTCGTTAATTTCGGTTTCTAAACCGGAGCCGCTGTTTCCTTGAAACGGCTCTTAAATTATCCTCATGAGGCTGAGTGGACCCCGTACCAGACCCACTACTTCTCAGAAAATCTGGTAGCGCCGGGAATCGAACCCGGGGCCTCTGGATCTGTAGCCAGGAACTCTGACCTCTAGATCTCAGAGACGGTCCCATAAATGTAAGTATGGGAAATAAATATATAAATAAATGACCAATAAATTGCCACATTAAAGGAAGGCAGAATATGTACATTTTGGGGAAGCTATTTGTGTCGGATCCAGCATTAATGTCTCCATGGCAGCTGTACCGATAACAGCAGCTAAACCGCAGACATCTGCTGCTCTGTTATGCTTCAAACGGTTATAAGGGAAATATAGGTTTATGTTGAGGAATTGTTCTTCTTCCTTTTCGTTCCCACTTTGAAGCATAGGACTGATTTTTCAGTTTCCTTGATCATTTTCACAGACAGTAGGACTCCTTGGACGGGTGATCAGCTCGTCGCAAGACACGTAGAGGAATCCTTGAATAAAAATCCGACTACTCTCAGATGAGATTCTCAGAGCGAGTGACACTTTCATTCGCCTATACACAGGGTGGCCCAAAAAATCTGTTAACTGCTTAGCAAAATGTACAACGAAACACGTTAACAGTTCCTTTATTATTTACTGAATTCACAAAAACTGATCGAAATGAGATGCTCAGTTTTCAGGGCATTACTGACAATGCTGTGTACCATTCTACAAATTGACTGGCAGGTTTAAATCTTAACATTCTCATTAACAGGAGATAGTGTTTTAGGTTAACTCACTTCTGAGAAACTCTATACAAACAATACTGTAATGGGTGGTGTGTGTAATTTACTTTTATTTAAAGTAATATGAAATATTCTCAGGCGATAAACCGGGTCAGTTCGAAGCATCTATTCCCTACTGATGTGGCTGATTGCCGGAGAATATCCCGTATCATTTTCAGCCGCCGCGAAAGCTTCAAGTCATCCACAACATGAAATAGCACAGTTCCCATAAATTAAGTAGGTATTACAATATTACACAACTGACGTATCGGCAAAATTTTCTTATCATATCTGGATAGGCTTACGCATTGCGTGTCAGGAAAATAAAGTCACGTACAGAACAGAAGATCCAGTTTCTTGTTTTTGAAGACGAAAGGCTGCCGCTCACAGTTCCGCGCGGTCTGACGCATGAACTGTCTTCGCTCGCTCGAACGCTGGGATCGTGGGTTAGAACCCCACTCAAGGCATGGATGTCTATGTGCGCCTATTCCGTGTTTTTGTTGTTCTGTGTGTAGGTAGCGGCCTTGTGACGGGCTGATCCCGCGTCTAAGGAGTCAAACCGACTGTGTATAGGATTAAGAAACTGAAAAAGTGGCAGAGGTTTAACAAAGAACTGTAGGGCCATAGCTAGATAGATAAATAGAGCATGAAAGGCTAGAAATAAGCGCAGTTTCCAAACAGAGAATTATTTGCGGAACTGCCATGATTGCGTGTATTGCCCTATGGAGAGATGTCATGTACATTAAGTCCATGGTACTAAAGTTCACAGCTATGCTGTGTGCTTTTCTAGAATTTGTACGAGGTGGAGGCTGGGAAAATTTCAGAGGTGGGGCGAAAACGGTGCAAATCAACAAAGAGGTGTGAACCAATTTTTTTCCGAAATATTTTATTACTGTTTATGTCACGAAAAAACAAACAAAACATCACTGATAATAGAGCAATTCCCGATTTTATAACACTTGAGTCTGATAATTAATACACCATGAAAGCTTATAAGCATATGCAAAAATATTGTGTTTAATACATATATTCTGTGTGTTGTTATAATATCAAAGGAGAAAATGGAAGACCGCTGAAAATGGGTTTATTTCCTTCGTGGTGGTAGTTCAAGGGCTCTTCTGGTCAAATGTATGAGAGAGTCTTACGG